TTTTCTTGGAAAGAACAACATAATTTGAGCAGCCATGTGTATGTGTCCTTTCTTAATAAAATATGACTAAATTTTCACTAAAATTGGTATGAAAGTGATGTTACAGGGGCTCATAATCAAGATGTAGTTTTAAATCCCGTACTTAAATAATACCAAAGATGACAGTCATCCATATTTTCAGAGAGGAGGTGATTTCCCCAACTATTACACAAGAATTTTAATATTATGTATGCAATCTTGAGTGTGGTGTAGGGATATGGACCAAGCTTTCCCCTCACTTCTGACAAAGCCAAAACTTTTGTTAATTTTTTCTTAATTATACCAGGTTGTGGTTTAATTCTAATAAACTGTAGGTCTCATATGCTCGTCAACTTCATCTTCACTATTACCCTATCAACAGCAAAATAAGAATTCTGACCTACAAACGATCCTCTTTAAAATGTAATCATTGTTACAGGACAGGCAGAAACCAGTGTGATCAAATATATATACATATATATAACTAACTGAGAAGCTAAAAGCCACTCAGCTAGTCAAGTGCTATTCAGTTCCCTTTATGGAACCCAAAGGTTCATTGCTGTGTTCACAAGAACACGTCACTTGTCCCTAACCTGAGCCAAATGAATCCAGTCCACAACCTCCAATACTCCTTTCAGTTCCATCTTAATATTATCCTCCCAATTAAGACTAGGTCCTCCAAGTGGGTCTATTCTCTTCAGGTTTTCCAACTGAAACTTTGTATACAGCTCTTATTTGTCTGTAGTTTATTTAATGATGCTGTCAGTAACTATATGCCAGTAGTCCTAAAACTAAATGACTGATTGACAGTAAATAATGTATTTAAAAGGATGTGGAAGCAAGCAGACATGACCTAATTTAAGGTACTATCATAATAATCAGTGTCCTGGCTGAGATTCAAACTAGGCATCTCCCAGACACAAGTCAAAACCATCACCACTTGAATCACTTTCCTCAGTGTATGCATGTTTCATCTCTGTCACGTGTGACACCACAACTTATATACATATAGACACACATATACACAATGTGAACAACATTTTGTATGACAAACCTTTAGCAATTGTTAAGAAAAACCCTAAAA